GTCTGATGTTGATGAAATCAGTTTTTGTTTGTCTGGAAAAGTCTTTATTTCTCCTGCATGTCTGAAGGATAATTTTGCTGGATATAATATTTTACGTTGGAAGTTTTTGTCCTTCAGCACTTTGACTATGTCATCCTACTTTTTCCTGGACTGTAAGGATTCTACTGAGAAGTCAGCTGCCAAATGTATTGGAGCACGTTTATATGCTATTTGCTTCTTTTCTCTTGCTGCTTCTAGGACCCTTTCTTTATTTTTGACCCTTTTGAGTTTCAACTATTATATGCCTTGTGGTAGTCTTATTTGGGTTGAATCTTCTTGGCATTCTTTGACCATCTTGTACCTGGATACACATCTTTAGGTTTGGAAGGGTCTCTGCTATAATTTCTTTAAATAAACTTTCTACCCTCAATTTCTCTCTGTCATCTTTAAACCAATAAGTCTTAAATTTGCTCTTTTGAGGCTATATTCCAGATCTTGAAGGTATACTATTTTTCTCTCCTGATTGTGTATTTTCATATAGCTTATCTTTGAGCTTACTTATTCTTTCCTCTGATTGGTCAGTTCTGCTGTTGAGAGATTCTGTTGCATTTTTCAGTTTATCAGTTGAATTTTTCAGATCAAGAATTTCTGCTTGATTTAAACAATTATTTCAATCTCTTTGTTAAACTTGTTTGACAGAATTCTGAATTTCTTCTCTGTGTTATCTCGAAATTCATTGAGCTTCCTCAGACAGATATCTTGATTTTCCTGTTTGAGAGGTCACACATCTCCATCACTCCAGGATTAGTCACCGGTGCCTATTTAGTCCATTTGGTGAGGTCATTTTTTCCTGGATGTCTCAGTGCTTGTGGATGTTCATCAATATCTGGGCATTGAAGAGTTTGGTATTTATTCCAGTCTTTGCAGTCTGAGCTTATTTGTACCTGTCCTTATGCCTGTGGCCATTGCAGCCAGTTCAGCACTTGGGGGCACCCTAAGTCCAGGAAATGTTGACTCTTGCAGACTCCTAGATATGCAGTCTTGGTGGAATAGAGGAAGATAAGAGAAAATTTCCTGGGTTACTAGGCAAAGTTTCTTGTTCTCTTCACTCTCTTCCCCCCAATCAGAGGGAGTCTCTCTCCACAGCATGCTGCCTGGTGTTGGGGAAGGGGTGACCTGGACACCTCAGCTCACACCACATTGGATTGCATATGAAGCCCACAACCTTCCAGACCAGCTTAGTACCGGGTCATGCCAAGGCCCATAGCCACTACTGCCTAGCTGCGGCTGACGTTTATTCAAGTCCTAAGGCCAATTTAACCAGCAAGTAGTGAATCTTTAAAGGACTGGGTTCACCCCAACAGAACCACTCTGGGTCTAGAAACATTGAAACATTGTCCAGGACCAAAGGTTTAGGACCAGGGGCTTTAGGAATCTGCCTCCTGCTTTATTTTACTGTGGCTGAGCTGGTACCCAAATAGCAAGACAAAGTCCTCTGTACTCTTCCCTTTCCTTCCCCCCACGTAGAAAGAGTCTCTCCCCAAGTTGCAGTGGCTAGAGTTGGGGAAGAGATGACACAGGCACTCCCATGCTCCCATGGCCACCACAGCTGATGTGTCATTGGGTCATATCCCAAATCCACTGCCTCTGAGACCAGGGCAGCAACAGGGTTTGTCCAAGGATGGCAGTCTTTGTGACCTGTCACTCATTTTATTTGGAGCTCAGTCCACTTTGGTCAGCTAGTAGTGAAGCTAGCTGGAACCCAGTTTCCCCCCTCTACGGTCAAGAATTCCTCTTCTGGCCCAGGGTCTGTCTAAATGTTCTGTCCGTGGGTGCTGGGGGAATTCTGCCCTGTATTGTGTTCCACCATAACAGGGCAACACTGAGTTCCTATGTAAAATCCCAAACTCACTTTGCTCTCCCTCTCCCAAGTGCACAAACCCGGATTATCTCTTCCTTCTGTGTTGCCTGGGGTTGGAAGAAGGGTGGTGCAGACACTGCAAGGCCTCTTTTCTTATTATTATGTTAAAACAAAGTACTATGATCTCTCACCTGATTTCTTTTTTCTCATTCTGTCACTCAGGCTGGAGTGCAGTGGCACAATCATGGCTCTCTGCAGCCTCAATCTCCTGGACTCAAGTGATCCTTCTGTCTCAGCCTCCCCAGTAGCTGGGACTATAGGTGTGTGTGTCACCATGCCTGGCTAAATTTTTAAAAATTATTTTTTGTAGAGATGATTTCTAGCTATGCTGCCCAGGCTGGTCTTGAATTCCTGGGCTCAAGCAACTCTCCCCCCTTGGCCTCCCAAAGTGCTGGGATTATGGATGTGAGTCACCATGCCCACTGTGGTTCTTATAAAGATGTTTGTTCCATGGATAGTTGTTCAATTTGGTGTTCCTGTCGGGATCATCACTGTTGCTCTTGCTCTGCCTCTTCCCTCTTTCCAGTCATTCTTTAAATTGCTGACACCAAAGCTTCCAATGCCTTCATTATTTCTATCCCACACACAGTTGCTGAAGTAATTCTTTTTAAATTTCAGCTGGTCTTTTATTAGAGACCCTCCTGAACGACTAAAGCCTGAGACTATGGGCTTAAGCCAAAAAGCAGTCAGACGGACAAATATTGTGCTCTGCTCAGAATCACCCACCTGCCTAGTGCCAGTCTATCACTCCTGAACAAAATGTTGCTGATTCTCATGTCTCAATTTAGAATAATTAATAATTTAATTCTGAGGAGACACCTCTGTTTCTCTGGTGGCCTCCAGACTTGAAACAGGCACATGCAAATTACATAGGACTATTATGGGTCACATCATCTCTCCTATACTAGCCAGATAGCAGGCACCTGAGGCTAGCAATTTCTGAAAAGGATAGCAAACAGAATATCACTGAGTTTTGTATTATTATAACCCATTAATATGCCTCCCTACAAGTTGTCTGATTTTGAGAAACATACACAATAAAATCCTTTATCCTATATAAAAAAAGAGATCTGTAGCATGTATACATAGAAAACTGGTGTCTAGACATATTTTACTAAAATAAGTGCAAAAATAACTGAAGTATATTTATTTGAAAGATGCAAAATTATTGCCTTTCTAGGAGCACCTTCCTGTCATGGTGACTTCAGGGAATCATCACAAGTAATTTAGTGACTTGGCTGGAGTGAAGAATGGGAACACTGAGTCTGGAGAACAAAGCAGGACCCATATCTGGAGGGCCCTTGTGAACTAGGTTAAATCATTTGGGCTCAGTCTTGTGGGTAGAATTGAGGTAGCATTAACTGGAAGGTCAGGTGAACACCAAACTTTATGCCAGATTTCAGATTTTTCTCTTTTAGAAATGCAATATTTGTATTAAAATCAAAGACTCCCCCAAAGATTGCATTTTGAAATGTAAAGAAAAATCCACCTTTGTGCCATGTTTAGAAGGCAGATAAAAAATTCTAGTTAAACACAGTTGAGAATCTGTAAATATTGAACTTTGGTTCCATTGAGAATTTTTTAGGGTCCATCATTTTCTAAACATTTCCTACCAGAGAAACAGACCAATGGTTTGCAAATATCAGTTATCAGTATTTACTCTATAACACAAGCAAGCAAATTTCTTTGCACTTAAAACACAAAAATTTCCTATGTTGATTTGAGAGCTCTCTTAAATTTAGTTTCCCGAAAATGAGGGCAAAAGTACTTTGTTTGTTTTAACTTGACCTATCTTTCGCAATTCTGCTTAATCATTTTACAGATTCCATTTTGAAATAAGTGAGCTAGATGGTCAGACAATAGTGACAATTTTTTTGCCATTTCAATGACATATGCAAGAAACATCTTCAGTGAGATTTGTATATCAAATTTTTCTTTGTGCTCAATTTTTTCCCTAATGAATTTAGTATTAAGGTGTTGGTAAATAGAATTAATAAATAATAAACAAATAAGAAGAAAAATAAATATGTTGGTTTATTATTTACTAATTCAAAGCAAGAAGTGCCAAATTTACCATAAGTGTCTGACTTACAGAAATATGTTTAGAGACATTATTTTAAAATAGAGTACATATTATATACTAAGGTAGAAATGGGTACTAACAAATTGTAGTAAATAAAAATTTCTCTAATGAACATAAAACATCATAAAAAGAAACTTAAAAAATCATAAAGATAAAATTTTATTTCATTGTTATTAATTACTAGAGTTAGTTGTTTTATGAACTTTTTTCTTGAGCTCTAATATTAAAATCCTCACTGAGAGGTATGAGCTGTTTTTTTTTAATAAGAAAGATAATTTATACCTGAATAAAGGCAAATTTTGAATGAGTGTTATATGAATTAATAAATATTGAAGAATATCCATTTCCTACTGAATACTAAAGTAGTTGATTGATTACTCAGAGAATGATGTCAGTGTCCTCAGCATGGCAGTTTCATTATCAGTCACAGTCTTTCCTTCCCCTAATGTTCAACTTCTTCTCTAGGCGGGATGGACCCATGGACAATTCCTTGAACCCCTTTTCCAGATCTAGGTTATCCTTAGATCATTTCCAGCATCAAGGACACTATGGCTCAGGTATTCTCTAAAAGAGACCATCTTGTGAACCCTGTCTAAAGCAGACCCATTCTAAAATCATCTCACTCTGAAGTTGAATCCAGGTTGGTCTCCATCAGTATCAGTATCAGAGCAGACCTCACTCACAGTTGACACTTCAGAGCAAATGCCCTCCCTGGTCAAGAGAAGAAAGGTCAAAGGCAATGCAACTTACTAGTTTCTGGCTCTGAGCCGTTCTTCCTAGTGCCAAATTCCCATTTTAAAGCCCCTTTATTTGTATTAATAAAAGTAAATTCCCTGGATGTCAATTCCTATAAAATACCTCCTATTTTTATTGCTGGGCATGAAAGGGTATTTTCATTTCAGTTTTGGTTATTCTGCTAGGAGATTTCTTCTTTGTGACATTAATAATTAACCAGGTTATCCAAATTCTTCCAGCTCAATTTACTTAAAAGGAGAATAACTTCAAGAAGGTTATGTCCATGGTTTACTGCTTCCTCTAGCCATGGGCCTTTGGGGAATACTCTGGTTTTTAATCTTCCTGGGAAAAAGCTGGGGACAAGAACAAACGTAAGTAAAATAATCTTAATTTTTCAATGCATCATAGTTGTAAAGAGTGAAAAGTAAATTCAACAGATTGTGTCAATTTGAAAGTAACTTTCTACTTCTGAGAACACCAAGTGAATAGTCTCATTTCTGAATGAGAAAGTCATGGAAGCATTTTGATTTGATGAGTAGCTAAGCAACATGACAGCTTTTATGGGATTATTATTTTTAAAAATTTACGTAAGTAATATTCAAATTCCTCTTCAGAAGTACAAAATAACTCAAGGTAATAGACTTTCTTAGAATTTTTTGCTTATTTTGCTTGGTGCTTAGTTTTCCTTGTTTTTTTGTTTTTTTTCCCATAAACTATACATAGTTAAACCTGGGTTACTTGGGGGTCAATTCTAATACCGTGATTTGAAAGCCTCTTGTCATTGATTCTACATTTATGACCTGATTCTTCACAGTTTTTAGTGCTACTATTGAAATATTGCATTTAAAACTATGTCTTTTAAGCTGTGTCTTTAAAATAGTGTATCTTATATCTAGAATATATATATATATATATATATGTTTTTTTTTTTATTTTATTTTATTTTTTTAGTCGAGGTCTCACTTTCTCACGCAGACTGGAGTGCAGTGGTATTATCATGGTTTACTGCAGCCTTGACCTCCTAGGTTCAGTTGATCCTTCTACCTCAGCCTTTCAAGTACCTATGACTATAGGCACATGCCACCACACCTGGCTAATTTTTATATTTTTTGTAGTGACAGGGTCTCGCTTTGTTGCCCAGGTTGGACTCGAACTCCAGGGCTTAAGGGATCTACCTCGGCCTCCCAAAGTGCTGGGATTATAGACACAAGCCCAGCATAGAAATAACATTTTAGCACTAAAAAGTAACTGGAGATTGTCTAATCAAACTTGTTCATTTTATATAGGAGGATAAATGTAGATAGGAGACATGATTGGTCAAAGGTCATACTGCTAGAGAGAGCAGAAATAAGAGTTTTATTAAGGACTCCTGCTTATCACTTCAAATTTTTCCATTCTGTCATAAATGTATGCATATACATATATCAAATATAAATGTATACTTAGTATATCATTAATTTTTAGCACTCTCTTATCTGGAATCTGAGATTTTATCACATGGTCACAATCACTCCATTATCTTAGGTAGTTTTTACTTATTCCTTTTTGAAAGACAAGCAGCTGAAGCTCAGAAAGATTGAGATTAAGTGACTTCAAATTAGTGGTAGAACTAGGGCTAAACCCTAGGTTCCATAATTCTTGTCCAGAGTTTTTCTGAATTATTTCTACTACACTGCACTGGCCCTTAATAAAAAGTACCTCCTTGCTTTCTCTGAAAAAGTGAGAGTGTACCATTTAAAAAATGGCCATCAATCACTTTAATTAATTGGTTGGTTGGTTGATTGATTCAACAAATATTTATTGAGTACCCACCATGTGATAGGCACTGGGGATATAGCAATGGTAAATGACAATTCTTAGAGCTTGCATTCGCGTGAGAAAGGCAAATAATGAATGACAACCAGTGAAAGAATGTATAAGTGAGGTAAATAGTTACTAGTATTATGAAGAAAAAAATAAAGACTAAGAAGACAAAGAAATGATGGGTTATTGTTTTAAAATGTAAATAGGGAAGGTTCTCTTAAGGCAGTAATGCTTAAGCAGAGCTTAAAGGAAGTGACAGAGCAAACCATGCAAATATCTGGGGAAAGAGCATTGCATCGGTACTAAAAACTTGCTGCTTTTTAAAGACTTTTTACATATCATATTGTTGGCAGGAGCAATAATTCTGCCAGGTGAGGTGGTGTGTGTGCCCCAATCCTGTTGGGCCACTTGAATTAGTCTATCACTAGACCCTGTTGGGTGAAATGCTTTTTTTTCCCCACCGCCTAATAGCACATGTAGCACTGGCTATTCAAATTAGATACTTTCGTGATACATAGTTAAGAATCTAGTTTATATTTGTAAGTCTTTATTTAAGAAAACAATGACAAATTACATTTCTTTAAAATTTTTATTTCAAAAGCATGTGTAGGGTTACTTCCATTCTTGTGTAAATCATATGTAAAGTAAAAATGAGAGAATAGCCTATGGCTATGAATAATACTTGCGACCTTGACCTTAATTGGACACATAACTGAGAGAGACCTGATATAAAGCCCTGTCCTATTCATTTACAAATCATATAACCTTAGTCAGACTAACCTCCTCACTCTAAAATAGGAATAATAATAGTACCTACATCACTGGCTTGTTGTAAAGATTAAAAATAGTTCTATGTAGGGCAACGCCCTCGAGTCCCCTCCCACTGTGGGAGCTTCTCTGTCCTCTTAATAAATTCTGCTTTTTTAAAAAAATTGTTCTATGTAAAGTGCTAACATAGCCTCTGATATGTGGTAACTACTCAATTATTGCTTTGGTTGTACAATGATGGTGATGACAATGATGATGATTTGGTCTTCAAGGACTGTCAGCACTACTTTCATTTCCAAATGCATTCCCTCAGCTCACTAGTATTCTATCCTTTTCTTCATCCACTTACTAATATAACATTATATTTTAAAGATTACTTTCTTTTAATTTAGTGAAATTAATGCATCTTAACATTTGAGTACTCAGCACGTGGGGGCACTTTCTTATATATGTTCTTATTCAATCCTTTCTACATCATGGTAAAGAAGGGAATGTTTTCAAAGATAAGTTATTTTAGCCCCAGAGAAGCTTAGTGACTTTACCACGGTCACTCAGCCAGCAGATGGCAGAGCTGGAATTCAATCACTGGTGTCTATGTTGGTTTTTTCTTCACTGGGCAAAAAATATTGACCCCATTTATGTGTTGTGGTTAATATCACTGAAAGTTTTCCCTGGTTGCAGTAGCTAAGGGAAGGTGCTATTTTTACCTTTCTAATTGTAAATTAAACCTTTAGCTCTATTCCCTGGTCTTAATTCCAAACTATTTCTTTTTGGAAATTATGCTGAAATTGTCATAGAGCATAAATAAAGTTTGACTTACTATCATTTTAAAGTGAGAAAATATATCTATTTTAAATAGAATCTCTCAAGTGAGAGGAAGAAATCAGAAGTATGAGAAAACATGTCATATGAAGATACCAAACATTCTCTTTTCCTTTTTCAACAGATATGTCATTTCAGCACCAAAAGTATTCCGTGTTGGAGCATCTGAAAATGTTGTAATTCAAGTTTATGGATACACTGAAGCATTTGATGCAACAATCTCTATTAAAAGTTATCCTGATAAAAAAATTCATTATTCCTCAGGCTATGTTAGTTTATCCTCAGAAAATAAATTCCAAAACTCTGCAGTCTTAACAGTATGTATTTATCTTTCATTTTCATTATATATACAGATATTTTCAATAAAAATATGTGCAAAGTTTGAATATTGGTAACACCAAGATTTGATCATTTACACCACTCTACCACTGTGGGATTATTAGATGTCAGTGACTAACGATAATACAGGTGAAACAGGAATTTCTAAATAGAAGAGTTGTGTCTGCTTTTTAAGCAATGCACGTACATTTTCATATTCTCGTTGAAAAATAAAATGGTACCAATGTGAAAATATTTAGATGAATAAAAAAGACTTGTTTGCTGTGAAAATTATCATTACAAAGAAATAAGGAAATATGAATATGCTCATTTATCGATAGTGCATTTCCCACAAAAACCCATTGGATGCTATTGAACATTTGTTTAAATTCCAATATTCTACAATTACAGCTTCCAAAATGAATACAATTACTGATTACTAAAGTGAATAGCTTTCATTAACAACCTAAATCAATAGAAAGAACAATGTTGATCAAATAACTTTTTCTCCTACTAAGATATTGTTCTACAAATTGGCTAGAGATATGCTTGTAATTCATTTCTTATTGAAAATTCTGAAACTTAATTAAAAAAACAGAAAATCAATGAATATCAGACTTAAAAGAGGTTTTAAAGTTAATTTCTCTAAAGTGAATTTTTAATAAATTAAAAATGGAAGTTTTATAAAGAGTTTAAAATTAGAATTATATTGATTTTGTAACCTTGAAAATTCATTTTATACATTTTTAATTTTTTAGTTATATAAAAGTCATAAGCATAAGATTATACCTAGTTAAGTAACATTGTCATAAAAATGATTAAAAGTCAAAGCTGAAAGTCCTCCACATCGTTTACCCTTTAAAAAGGTATGTATCTTGCTCATATCTGAGAAATACTGTTCTAAATAAGTTGTAATCAAACATAGGAATTCTTTTTTTCTATTATTTTAAAAATTTTTTATTTTATTTTATTTTATTCTTTATTTTAAAGATGTAGGGTACAATTCAGGGTTAGGTATACAAATGTTCATTATGCAGGTACCCTTATTGATGAGGTGTGCCCCTCCCTCCCCTGGCA